AGCCAACCACCCTCACTGGAGGAAAGATATCCTCTTTAATAAACGGTGTTGGAAAAACTGGATTTCAATCTGCCAAAGATTAAATCTAGACCCGTATCTATCACCATGCACTAAATAAAATGGTAGTGGATTAAAGATTTAAATATTAAAACAAACACTAAACTTGCTGGAAGATAAGTTAGGTAGAACTCTTGAAGACATTGGCATAGCAAAAGACTTTATGAACAAAACCTCAGTAGCATGGGAACTAGCATAAAAAATCAACAACTGGAATCTCATCTTATTAAAAAGCTTCTGCACTGCAAGAGAAACCACCAACAGAGCTGAGAGACAACCTAAAATGTGGGAAAAAAATTTTAGCGGCTGTACCTCAGACAAAGGACTACTATCTAGAATCTATAAAGAACTTAAAAACATCAGACCTCCCAAATTTAAAGACCCAATTCAAAAATGCCATCTGAAATGAACAGACATTTCTCAGACAAAGAAGTAAAAGCAGCAAATAAGCATATGAAAAAATGTTCAACATCACTGGTCTTTCAAGAGATGCAGATGAAAACACCACTGAGATTCCACCTCACCCCAGAAAGAATGACTGCTATCAAGAAATCAACCAATAAAAAATGCTGGTGGGGGTGTGGGGAGAAAGGAACCCTTCTCCATTGTTGGTGCAACCACTGTGGAAATCAGTATGGAGACATCTCAAAGAACTAGGGCTGGAGGTCCCATTTGACCTAGCTATTCCCCTGCTCTGTATCTTCCCCCAAAGAATTAAAAGAATCATACCAGTGATACATGTACACCCATGTTCATACCAGCACAGTTTGTAATGGTGAAAACTTGGAAACAGCCCAAGTGCCCATCAACTGGAAACTGGACAAAGAAGATGTGGGTTTTTTATAAAATGGAGTACTACTCAGCCATAAAGAATGAGAAACTAGAGACATTTATAGCTAAATGGATGCATGTTGAAGACATACTCTTAAGTGAAATAAATAGGACACACATGTGTAAATACTGAATAGTTTCTCTGGTGTGAGAAACTGAAAGTGTAAATAATGATTAAAATGAATAATTGATAATGTGAAATAGGAAGAAAAGGTCCAAAGGGGTAGGAGAAGTGGAAACTGAAAG